AACTTAAGTTAAATTTTGATGATTCAAAGACTTCCGCTGTAATAGTTTAAATGGTTTTAATTTAGCTATTATTTTGGTGTATCTATTAAGGTAAATGTTTTAGATTACGTAACAACTCTCTTGATGAAAATGAGGGTGTTACAAGTTGGTATCAAAGCCTTAGTTTAAGGTAATTAGGCTAAAAGTTGCTTAGCTTAAGCTTAAACTGAGAAAATTATCAGAGCTTTAGTTTAAAGGTAAATAGGTTAGGATTTACTTAGCCTAAGCTTAAGCTGAAAGGATTATTAGAAGCACATGTTCATTTTGTATCGGCGTTGCTTAGCATGCGATTAAGTTTGATCCTACGTCACTACTCGACTTAGTATTCCTTTTTATTTGTAGAAGACATGGTTCACACCATTCACACCAGGGCTATCAGACACGGGCGCGGACACGGATACGGAACCCGTAGGACGCCTTACGGGCTAGGACCGAATAGAGGGTCGATTGACAGTCACCGCCCCAGCGTCGGACAGGTTCCCGGTACCCGATCCAAAAGCGATAGTCCGGCCCACACTGGTGAAGCGTCATCATGCGAGCCCATCAGGCAAGGGACCACACCCGAACCTTTGGAAGACTACACTCCCCGCACCCCTACACGTGAGGACATGATGGAGACTATAGAGACCCTGGAGGGCGAGAACACAAGGTTAAGGGAGAGGTTGACCCGAACTTCAGATGACAATACTAGACTGAATGAATGGCTGAACAATCTTCAGCGGGCACATGTCGAACAAGGAGGAGCCCTAATCGAGCTGATTGAAGAGAATGCGGATTTGTCAGACCACTGTCATGCCCTGATTTGGGACAAAGTTGTGCTTGAACAGGAGCGGAGAATTACTGCTCGCCCAGTAGGCACTAGAATCAGAGACAGAGTCCACTTCTATAAGAGAATGACCGTGGACTATGCTGGTGTAGTGAGGGGTTATTTCTCCGAATGGGTCTGATGCATCAAGAATGGCCCAAGGGCTAGTGTGTGGTGGCACTCCAGGCCATCCACATCATTTGAAGAATGGATAAGGGACCCTTATCTCCCTTACTACCCTGCAGATCAGTTTTAGACATGGGATCAGGGATGAGAGAAGGATCTTTTGAGTAGGTGAATTAATTGTACGTGTCTAGATAGTTTTCATCTAGCCAGTACCTCAATAGAATTTTTGGAGCATTCACATGTGTCTAGAGCTATGAAGCATCCCGTCTTTTGTAAGTAAATGAGATTTTGTGATGTCTCTCTTCCCATGTTTGTTTGAACACGAAATATATATAGCTTATTGCGCGTTATGAGATTTTCGATTCCTTATTATGTATTTCGCTTATATATAGTGGTTATACTATATACGAATATATATGTATATGTGTAGATATATATATCTATATACATAAATGTAATGTGTTAAGTCGACTTTGGAACCGAGTTAAATCGTTAATACTCTATTATGTCAGTATGGTTTCTCGCGGATCAACAAGGAACGCCCTCAATGAGGGAGGTGATAATGGCATGGCCCCACCGACAGTTCGGGGACGGACACGAGCCCAAAGTCGAGGTCGCGGAAGTGTCCGAACCGCTAGTTCGGGTACGACCCCATCMWCGCCAGCTAGTTTGGCTATCGGTAGGAGCCAAAGGGGCCAAGGAGGAGAAATTCCTCTCACAAAGGAAGTGATGGCTGAACAAATGGCACAAGTCCTCCGGGATACATTGCCAAATATGCTTAAAGAAATGTTGGGTGACAGACTGAAGGATAATGAAGGTGGAGAGGAAGGAAGCGTTCGACACGAGAACACTCAAACCCCTGAAAGGGTGGAAGTGTCTGATAAAGAGAAGGTGGAGTCGCTCATCATCGAGAAAACTGAGTTGACTGCAAAGGAGAGAGGATGCAGTTTTAAAACATTCAAAGGCACCGGGCCAAATGAATTTAAAGGAATAGAGGGCCCAGTGAGCCTGATGAACTGGGTAGCCAAGATGCAGAGTTGTTTCAAAATTTGTAGATACGCGGAAGATCAAAAGGTGACTTATGCTGCTACAACCTTTGTGGACTATGCGTTGCATTGGTGGGAGTCTGAATGTGCAATCAGAGGTGATGAGGATATTGCTGCCATGACTTGGGAGCAAATGAAAAAGACGATGATGGGTAAGTACTGCTCGCAAACGGAGGTGAACAAGCTAGAATCCGAATTTCTGAGATTAAAGCAAGGATCGTTGTCAGTTCAAGAATATGTTAACGAGTTTCTCGAAAAAGCAAGATTCGCCAGTTACCAGGTGGCTACTGAGGACAGGAAGATATGTTGTTTCAAGGACGGCTTAAGAATCGAAATCAAACGGTACGTAGACATGACCAAGCCGACCACGTTTGTCCAAGCAGTAGAGATGGCAAAGGTAGCAGAAGAGAACAACGCTAGGGAGAATTATGATAGGAGGGATGCAAAGAGAAAATGGGAAGGGTCGAACAGGCCCGACAAGAAACCAAAATGGACTCCGACTACGGCAAAAACACGAAACGAGGAACGCATTATTCCCCAATGTAACAAATGCAACAAGAGACATAGGGGAGAGCGTAGAGTAGGGAGCCTGACGTGCTACATATGCGACAAACCGGGGCACACTACGCGAGAGTGCCCAGAAGGAAGGACTTGTTACGAATGTGGGGCCACGGGACATATACGACCTGACTGCCCAAAACGTCGGAATAGTGTGACACCCCATGAGAAGACAACGAATAACGGATTTGGAAGGAGATCAGAGAATGGGAAGGAGCTACCTAAGGGACGCGGCCGAGCTTACAACATGACCTTGGAGGAGGCCAAGGAAACGGCCGACGTCGTATCCGGTATATTCCCTATCAACAATGTGTATGCACATGTATTATTTGATTCGGGTGCAAATGGTAGTTTTGTGTCTACCACCTTCTGCCACTATCTGAATAGCAGTACCTGTAGGCTAGACAAAACCTACATTGTAGAAACAGCCGACGATAGTCAGTGTAAGGTAGACGAAGTATTTGATAAATGCACAATTGTTATAGATGGGAAGGATTTCCCTCTTAGACTTATGCCAATGTGCTTAGGAGGTTTTGATGTGGTCTTGGGGATGGATTGGCTATCCAACAATCATGCGCAAATAGTATGCAATAAGAATTTGATTAAGATTCAAACTCCAGAAGGAGAAACAATTCATGTCTACGGTGATCGGAAGAAGTGCTGCTTAGGACTAATCAATTCAGTTAAGGCAAGTAGGTGCTTGCGGAAGGGATGCGTGGCCTACTTGGCATACGCCATCGACGCTAAGCTCGAAAAGAAGGTGATACATGATGTTCCAGTGGTAAGGGATTACCCAGAAGTATTTCCAGATGAATTACCAGGAATACCACCGGAACGTCAGGTAGAATTCCGAATCGATTTGGTACCGGGTGCGGTACCAATCGCAAGGGCGCCTTATCGCTTAGCGCCAACAGAAATGCAAGAGCTGATGAAGCAATTGCAGGAACTCTTAGATAAAGGATTTATCTGGCCAAGCTCGTCGCCATGGGGAGCACCGATCTTGTTCGTYAAAAAGAAAGACGACACGATGAGGATGTGTATCGATTATCGGGAGTTGAACAAAATCACGATAAAGAACAGATATCCATTGCCAAGGATCGACGACCTGTTCGACCAGTTGCAAGGGGCCAGCTGTTTCTCGAAAATCGATTTGAGATCAGGTTACCATCAGTTGAAGGTTCGAGAAGAGGACGTGTCGAAGACCGCTTTTAGGACTCGATACGGACATTACAAATTTGTAGTAATGTCGTTTGGGTTAACAAACGCACCTGCGGCATTCATGGACTTGATGAATCGAGTTTGTGGATCGTATTTGGATCAATTTGTCATAGTCTTTATAGATGACATTTTGATCTATTCGAAAAGTAAAGAGAAGCATGAACAACACTTAAGGATGATTCTTGAATTATTAGCAAAAGAGCAATTGTATGCCAAGTTCTCGAAATGTGAATTTTGGTTGCATGAGGTACAATTCCTCGGTCACGTAGTCAATACGGAAGGAATCAAGGTAGATCCGGCTAAGATTGATGCAATTATGAACTGGGAATCTCCAAGGTCAGTATCGGAGATCCGAAGTTTCCTAGGCCTAGCAGGGTATTACCGAAGGTTTATCTAAGATTTCTCCAAGATAGCAACGCCCTTGACGACGCTGACAAAGAAGTCGGTTAAGTTTGATTGGGGGATGAAACAAGAAGAAGCGTTCCAGATACTTAAGAAGAAACTAAGCACTGCACCGGTTTTATCACTACCAGAAGGAGTAGAAGACTTTGTCGTTTACAGCGATGCGTCAAAAATGGGCTTAGGTTGTGTACTGATGCAACGGGGCAAGGTCATTGCGTATGCATCACGCCAGTTGAAAGAAAACGAGAGGAAATACCCAACTCACGACATGGAGCTAGCAGCTGTCGTCTTCGCGCTAAAAATCTGGAGACATTATTTGTACGGTACGAAGTGCATAATCTACACTGATCATAAGAGGCTTAAATACTTGTTTGATCAAAAGGAGCTAAATATGAGACAAAGAAGATAGATGGAACTACTTAAGGATTATGATTGCGAGATTCACTATCATCCAGGTAAGGCGAATGTAGTCGCCGATGCACTTAGTAGGAAGGAGAGAAGCGAACCAATCAGGGTTCGAGCCATGTGGATGAATGTTAAGGTGGAGCTCCTAGACCGAATACGGGATGTCCAAAAAGAAGCTTTACTCGAAGCAAACATCAAAAAGGAGAGAATGATTGGGCAAACTAAGACCTTGACAGCTGGACCAGATGGAATATATAGACACGGGAATCGGGTTTGGATTCCTAGTTTGGGAGATCTAAGGAATGTGGTGATGGACGAGACCCATAAGTCTAAATATACTATGCATCCAGGTAGTAATAAGATGTACAAGAATATAAAAGRAAACTATTGGTGGCCTGGTATGAAGAGGGCAGTAGCTAGCTATGTGGGAAGTTGTTTGACGTGCTTGAAAGTGAAGACCAAACATCAAAGACCATTTGGAATGTTGCAACAAATGGAAATCCCAGTATAGAAGTGGGATATGATCATGATGGATTTTATCACCAAACTTCCAAGGACGGTAAAGGGACAAGACGCTATATGGGTAATTGTAGATCGACTAATGAAATCTGCTCATTTCCTACCAATCAGTGACAAGTATACACTAGAAAGATTGGCCCAGCTTTATGTCAATGAAATCGTGTCGAGACATGGTGTACCAATATCCATTGTCTCGGATAGAGATGCTAGGTTTACTTCGAGGTTTTGGTTGAGTTTTCAGCAAGAAATGGGAATGCGGTTGAACTTGAGTACCGCATATCATCCTCAAACTGATGGCCAGAGTGAGAGGACGATACAAACACTAGAAGATATGTTGAGAGCTTGCGTGATTGACTTTGGAGGTAGTTGGGACAACCACCTCCCACTGATAGAATTTGCTTATAACAATAGTTATCATTCGAGCATCAAGGCGGCGCCATTTGAAGCATTGTATGGCCGTAAGTGTAGGACTCCAATTTGTTGGGCAGACATCAGAGAAAGACAACTAACTGGACCCGAGTTAGTCCAACAGACATCGGATAAAATAGTACAGATCAGGGAGAGGTTAAAGATTGCGCAAGATAGACAAAAGAGCTACGCGGATAGAAGACGTCGATCTTTGGAATTCCAAGTAGGTGATAAGGTTTTGTTGAAAATATCGCCATGGAAAGGRGTCGTGAGATTTGGGAAGAAAGGTAAGCTAAGTCCAAGGTACATCGGACCATTTGAGATAACTGCAATAGTAGGAGCAGTTGCTTATCGGTTGAAACTACCAGAGGAATTAAGTGGTATTCACAACACCTTTCATGTGTCAAACTTAAGAAAGTGTTTAGCTGACGAATCGACTGTTGTGGATTTGGAAGACATCGAGGTTAACAACAAACTCGCCTATGTGGAAGAACCAATTGGTTTATTGGATAAGAAGACGAAAAGACTAAGAAACAAAAGTATACTATTGATGCTAGTTAAGTGGAAATTCCATAAAGGCGCAGAAATGACGTGGGAGCCAGAAGAAGAAATGAGATCTAAGGATCCCCAATTGTTTTAGCAAGTGTTAATTCCGAGTACGAAATCTCGTAAAGGAGGGGAGAGTTGTAAAACCCAAAATTTCGAGGAATAAAATAAGGCATCTTTATTATTATTTCTATTTTATTCATGAATATACATATATATATATATAT